CATGCTTCCATGTGGCAATCATTCTTACTAAAGGTTTGCCTAAGAGAATGCGCAAGCGTGGCTTGGAGACCATGGCTAGTTCTCTCGTTTCTTCAAAGAATCTTACCTGGAACTGAGACAGCTCTGTGGTGCGTGGACGCCGGGAGCCTGAGTGTTGGGCCAGGTCGCGTCCGCCTCCTTTGGAAGCCGAGAGTCGAGCTAAAACGTGGCCGGCCCGACCGGGGGGGGGGGGGGGGGGGGGGGCAGGGCGGAGAAGGGCTTCTCATTCCAGTCACCGCGTGAACAGACCGAGTCCTCCCAGCCCGGCGCCGCTCTAGCCCAGCCTCTCTCTACTGCTTTTCTGTCGGCCAACAACGCTTGCTGTGATTGGTGCAGACGGCAGTCTTGCGCGGTGACGCCACGATCTGGCGGCGTTGGTATAAGAGCGGCGGCGCGGCGTGCGTGCTCCTCTTTCTGTACCGCAGCCGGCGTGCAGGTTAGTTTTTCTGTTCGGCGGTATTTTCTGGGTATGAGAGAGCGGGAAACGGGGTGCATGGTCGCGTAGGGATTCTGGGCGTTCACGGTTAATCTGAAGAAAACACAAAGCAGGCCAAGAGCTGATGAGAAGGGCGATTGTGAGCTTAGGAAAGTTTCCGGGCCGTTCTCGTGAGATTTCCTCGCGAGATTTCGTCATGAATTCCCACGCGCGGTGCTGGCGCCAAGTGTGAGCCTTCTGCGCAGGCGCTCTGCGGGTTCTCAAGCCCTCTCTCTCCGTGTCCCCCTTTCACACAGGCGCTGACGGCTTAGGGGAGCTAACATGCCGGTGGCCAGGAGCTGGGTTTGTCGCAAGACCTATGTCACCCCGCGGAGACCCTTCGAGAAATCCCGTCTCGACCAGGAGTTGAAGTTGATCGGTGAGTCGCCGAGACAGTTGGGGTGTCTGCGGGGAAGGCTGCCCACGTGTTAGCAAGGCAGTTTGGGAGGGTTTAATGTCGGGTGTCTATCCTGCCCTGAGCCTGCTCTGCCCCCCTTTTGTCCACCCGCAGGCGAGTATGGGCTCCGGAATAAGCGTGAAGTCTGGAGGGTCAAGTTCACCCTGGCTAAGATCCGCAAGGCTGCTCGGGAGCTGCTGACTCTGGACGAAAAGGACCCACGGCGTCTGTTCGAAGGTGGGCATAGAAGGGGGGGAGCATCAGAGGAATCGGGAACAGGGGTGCTGGGTTCCAGGCTGGGACGTGGCGCTGAACAGGCAAAGCCAACCCTTTTAGGTATCTGCGTTTTTTTGGACCAAAGGTTAAATCCTATGCTCTGCCACTGTGAGCTGCATTTCCCAAGGGCTTTGGTTCTGAACTTCTCCTGTGGACTGCATCTGGGCAGCCTCCTGGGCTACTAACAGTAGCTAGTCCACCCTGAGTGGGCTCTGCTGTTTCTCAGGTAATGCCTTACTGCGTCGGCTTGTTCGCATCGGGGTGCTGGATGAGGGCAAAATGAAGCTGGATTACATCCTGGGCTTGAAGATAGAGGATTTCTTGGAGAGGCGCCTGCAGACTCAGGTCTTCAAACTGGGCCTGGCCAAATCCATCCACCACGCCCGTGTGCTCATCCGCCAGCGCCATATCAGGTACTGTCCCTGGAGTCCTCCCCAGTCCAGCCCCTCGGTGGTTGCCGTTGTTAAGCCTGCTGTCCCTGTCTCTTGTGCAGCCCTTGGAGCTGATAGGTGTGAGCTTACCTTGAGGGTACAGATTGAACCTGTTCACAAGGGTGGAGGGTGATCTGGGGTCAGCCTCATTCCCCTAGCCCAGCGCAAGGGTCACTGCGGCCTGAGCCGTACACCTTGTGAAGGCCTCTCCAAGGTTGTGAGCCGCTGCACAGGTAAAGCCCCACAGTGCCCCCTTGGCAGGTGAGGAGGGGGGTCTGGCCTAGTTGGACAGGCTGAGCTGTGTATGGCGTGCTTGAAGCAGGTCCTGTCCAACTCTGTCACTGCATTCTGCCTCTGTCATCACTAGTATGACAAGTTCACAGTTGATGTCTGTAGGGGTTGGGCAGTCAGACAAGTACTATCTGACCTTTAACTAGCCACCTCAACCCAGAGCATCACTCAGGATTTCTTGTGTGAGGTGGAGAGAACCTCCAGATGCTCTGTTTGAAAACCCTTAAAGCTTCCGTGTGGGTTACCTGGTGCTCAGGAGCCTGGCGTGACAGTGTCGGAATCAGGAGTGCCTATCAGCCTGCAACCCATGGGTGCAGCTGCAGTGCCCAGCACCTGGGCTCGAGGACAAAGGAGTGGGGGCAGGGCCTTAGTGGTCTGGTCTACCTGTTCACCTGCCTTCCCCCCTCCAGGGTTCGCAAGCAGGTGGTAAACATCCCATCCTTCATCGTGCGCCTGGACTCCCAGAAACACATTGACTTCTCCCTCCGTTCTCCCTATGGGGGAGGCCGCCCAGGCCGTGTGAAGAGGAAGAATGCCAAGAAGGGCCAGGGCGGGGCTGGAGCCGGGGATGACGAGGAGGAAGATTGAGCCCATACTGGCCTGGGCTGGATGATGGTTTAGTTTTCCAGTCAATAAAACAGAATCAACATTTGGAACTTGGTGCTTATTGAGGTGCTGCACTTTTCCGCTATCCTCTCCCCTTTTCTACACACAGCTTGTTGATGAGAATGTTGACTTGAGTGCAGGCCAGCCACCTCTGCTCAGCTGCTGTGAACCCCCAGATGGCTGTCCTTCCATTCACAGCCTCAGCAGTAAAGGAGATACTTAAGAGCTGGGCGGGCCAAGCATTGTATAGAACACGGAAGGGTGTACTTTTGGGCAGAGGCTGGTGATTTAGTCACTTGGGGGAGCAGCTGGCTACAGGGTATCAGTTTTGTTGATCTGGTGGGCAGAGCCATGACCTTTGGGGAAGGAGGAAGTGGTCTGATTCTGAGCAAGTGAGAAAGGAAATTGAGCAAGAAGTCAGTTAAGTGGGCAATTCTGGTGCAGGCATGGATCCCAGGTCTCCTGAAGTCCTGTGAGGTCCAGGATTCAGGACAGCTTCATGGGGTTCTCCTCCAGCTTGCACACAGGTGATGGCATTCTATGGGATCTGTGGCCAACTGCAGTGGAAGCACCTCACTTTCCATCCTGCTCTTCTGACCTGGCAGCACCCCTTTCAGTCACCCTGGTGAGCAGGGCAAGGGTCATGCTAGGGGAAGAGGGTGAAACTTGCTGTTTCAGTGTTGCCATAGACATGTGACTTGAGTGTAGGCCCGCCTGCTGTGGGTTAGTGGGTGGGGAAGTAGAGGAGTAGGGTGTTGTGGGCCCCACCAGTCCTCTCCAAGGACCATTGCTTCACAGTGTGGAAGGAGAATAACTGTGTGGCCCTGGTAGAAGACCAGGCTTGGGTAAGCTCGGCCCTGTCAGGAGAGGGAGTGTATGCCATGCTTCATAGCGACGGGACACCTTGCTCAATTCCTGTAATCCTAATTATTCCAGGAAGGAGACAGATTGTAGGGTTGTGGTTCCAAGCTGGTCAGGAAACATCCAGCCAGAATTGGAGCTGTAGCTCAAGTAAGAGCCTTGGGCGCAAAAGCTCAGAGAATGCCCAGGCCACAGTTCAAGCCCCAGGACCATAGGGGAAAAGTGCACTTTGGGACTTAAGCCAAATTGCCTTAAGGCACTAAACAGGCCTTCCCTCCCCAGCTACCCCTTGACCTTAGACAGTCGGAAAAGTTTTGGCAAGTATTCCCGAATGAACGACAGCATAGGTCAAATTGCCACAAACACTCTGCAAGTGCTCACGTCAGTGTGACCTTAGCCGGAATGGGGGTGATTTTTTTGGGTGGGGGGCCTGGTTGTGAGGCCTGAACTCTGTCCCTCAGCTCTTCAGCTCAAAGCTAGTGCTCTACCACTTGAGCCACAGTGCCACTTCCGGCTTTTTTTTTTTTTTTTTTTTTTGCTAATGTGGTGCTGAGGAATCAAACCCAGGGCCTCAGGCATGCAAGGCAAGTGCTCTACCACTGAGCTACCTTCCCAGCCCCATGGGGGTAATTCCTAAAATGTGCAGATGAGAGCTCCAGGGTGTTTGGACGGTGGCATCCAGCCTTGCTCAGAAAGTAGGTGCTAGGGCTGGGAATGGGGCTTTGTGGTAGAGTGCTTGCCTAGCATAAGTGAAGCCCTGGGTTCCATTTCTCAGTACCACATACACAGAAAAAGCCAGAAATGGTGCTGTAGCTCAAATGGTAGAGTGCTAGCCTTGAGCCAAAGAAGCTCAAAGACAGTGCCCAGACCCTGAGTTCAAGCCCCAGGACTGGCACCAAAAAAAAAAAAAGGTGTCAGAGAAAGAAAACACTTGGGGCTGAGAAGGTGGCTCAGTGGTAGAGCACTTGCCTTGCATGCTTGAGGCCCTGGGTTCGATTCCTCAGTACCACATAAGCAGGGAAAAAAAGCCGGAAGTGGCGCTGTGGCTCAATTGGTAGAGCACTAGCCTTGAGCTGAAGAGCTGAGGGACAGCACCCAGGCCCAGAGTTCAGGCCTCACTACCGGACCCAAAAAAAGAGAACACTGTTGCTGACTGATTGCAGAACATTCCACGTGACAGAAAGCAGTTGGTGACAGAAAAACTAGGGAACTGGAAAGTGGAACTCAGGAAATGAGCCAGAATGTAGCGACAGTCCTGCTAAAAATAGAAAGGATAGAACATAAAGGCAGAGTAACCAGGCCCCAAATAGGAGGCTGGATGCCAGAACATGGTGGGATGTCAGAGTTTGCTGGGGAAGGAAAGACAAAACAGCAGCACAGGTTCTGCAATGGATTCAGAACTTATAATCAAATGGAGGAGTAGCTCTAAATATGTATGTGCCCATGGAACCAGGTACATGGAAGGGATAACACGTTTTGTATCGAACACAGGTATTTATTTTCTTTTGTCGGTTGTGGGGCCTGAACTCGGCCTGGACGCTGTCCCTCAGCTCTTCAGCTCAAGGAAAGGGTTCTACCACTTGAGCCACAGTGCCACTTTGGCTTTTCTGCTTATGTGGTGCTGAGGAATCAAACCCAGGGCCTCAGGCATACGAGGAAAGCACTCTACCACTGAGCCAGCCATCTTCCCAGCCCTTGAGCACAGTTAACCGTTCCCTTCCATTCATATCTCATTGCTCTCCTTGCTTGTTGAGAAATGGCTTGCTTTAGCTTCAAAACAGTGGGGTATTCAATATCTGAGCAGAAAAAGGGCCAGGTCAGTCATGCACGTTCACAATCTCCTGGGGGTCTCCTGTAGGTTATCTGCAGGCCAGCCCAGGGTCACTGCTTAGTGCCCTTGGGGCTCCTTGCTGCCAGCGAGGCATACAGGCTTGGCTCTGCTGGGGGGGCCGCCGTCTGCTGTGTGAGCGCCACATGGCACAGCTGGGCATAGGTCACATCCTGGGGGTCCTCACGGGCAGCAGCCTGGAGTGGAGACAGAAGGGGTGTGCTTGGTGCTGGGGGACCTGAGAGGGTGGGATGCACTTGGCCGGCAGGTGGGCATGGTCAGCTGTGGCCACCACTGGTGCCCAGTGGGGAGGGGGGGTTACAGGGAAAGGAGCCCAGGGCTAAACCAAGACAAGAAGCTTCCATGGAGTGGGGTCTCACCCTGCTGTCCAGCTCCACCCCATCCTTGGGCTCTGTGTCCTTCGCAGCAGCTTCTGGGAGACAGGACAAAGTCATGACCCAGCCAAGGTCCCTCAGGCCCCACCTGTCCTATCCTAGATGGAATTGGTGGGGTTCACCCTCTCCCCCCCCCCCCCCCGCCACCTCCCTGGGTAATGCAGAGCCCCCTGCCTCTCCAGGGCCTGCCAGACTTACCCTCATACAGGATTTCTTCCTGGACAGCAGCAGCTGGGCTGGAGCTGGGGAGATGAGGTGGGGGGTCAGGAGGCAGTGAGGGTGGGTGAGCGGGGGGGGGGGGGGGAACGGGGGACAAGACTTACCTCCCAAGCAGGCCTCTGTCCCCAGGCACTGACTCCACAGTCCCTGCCCCAGTCTCTGCTAGAGGCAAGAGAGAAAGGGTCTCAGCTCAGGGGGTAGGGCCCCCTCCTTCAGGGAGGGGGGGGGGGGAGGACAGGTGGCTGCACACGTGTCTGAAGGCTTGTAGGGTCATAGAACACCTGAGATATGCACAGGCGCCCACCCCAGTGTTTTTTCTTAGGTTTCAGGTTTGAGAGCCTGCAGCCATACAGTCCACGAGTTCTTTGCCCCCAGACCCCCCTCACTACTCACCTGAATTCCTGCCTTTGTCCTGACTCCGGTGCCAGAGGAGGAAAAGGAGGAGGAAGAAGAGCAGAAGGAGGAAGGCCACTGAGACCCCGATGAGAATCTGCAGGTAGCTTTCCAGCCCTTGGGGACAAGTGACATTGAGCTGTGTGCCAGGTGCCCTCCGTGTATCCTCAGTCTTACAGTGGGATGCCAGCCCCATGTAGCCAGTTTACAGATGGGGAACTAGGGCTCAGAGACAGTCACCTGCCCCAAGTCACCCAGCAGGAAGCAGCAGAGGTGGGATTGAAACCTGGGGAGTCTGACTTCCAGCCTTGTCTCCACCAGAGCTGAGCCCCTAAGTTGCAGGACAGTGCCATAAGCACCCCTGTCCTAAATAGTTTCACTGTCACCATTCAGAGGGGATGGCCCACTATGGACTTTATCCTCTGGCGTCCTCTTCTCCCAGGGGGTCACCACCAAGGGCAGCATGGAAAGGAACTTGAGGTCTGGCCTGTGGGTAAACTGAGGCCTGGAGGCCCCAGTGTGTTGTGCAAAGGAGGCTGCATGCATCCCATAGCTCAGCCCCAGCCTCCTGGGCCCAACCTCCCCACAGAGCCTCCCCTTACCTCTTTTGGGGCCCACCTCCTTTGGGGTGAGGGTCTGCTCTACAGGGCCTGAAGTGAGGGATGGGAGGTGTCTGGGTCCCCGCTTTCCACCTGGGCTCTCCTTGCACTTGCCCTCTGCCTTGACCCCATACTCCTGCGACCCCCTTTCTGCTCCTGGGATTCTGGGGTCTCCACTTGCATCTTTGTCTGGGTGGGGCCCAGACAGGAGCTGAACCTGGATGGCTGGAGATGTGGGGCAGAGGCTTCCACACTCACCTGCTGTTGGCTTGTTCCACGGGGGTGGGGGGTGGAAGCACCCAGGGAGATATGTGTGTAGGCACAGAGGAGGGTGAGGCATAGGACATTCCCGAGACCCCACCTCTACTCTTGTGCCTCTGCCTTGTGGCTGCCATACCTTTCCTGACCGCCATTCCCTTATGGATGTCAGGCATGAGGGCCCCCTTTCTCCTCTGAGAGGGGTGCACCTGCTTCCAGCTGACACTCCCCCCATCCCAGGGAGACTGCATGCAGACTCCCCACGACCTCCAGACAGAGCTGTGAGAGAAGTCATCCCTGAGCACAGAGCCCAGGCCCAGGCCCCCGAGTGTCCCCTCACCTGTCACCACCAGCTCCAGGGGCTCACTATGGTCTGACCAGCCAGCAGGGCTAAGGTAGACACAGAAGTAGCGCCCAGCATCACCCTTTTTCATTGACTGGATGAAGAAGGAAGTCCTGTTCCCCTGTGTTCTCAGGATATTTGTGAACAACTGAACACTGTGTCCTTCTTTCTGCAGACGGAACTCCTGGGCATTCCAGGCCCCTTCACACCACAAGGTCACAGTACTTCCCTGGGTGACCACAGAGCAGGGCTCAGCGCGGAGGACCGGTCTAGGGAGGCTTCCTAAAAGGACATCAGAGACTGCACCCAGAACTTCCCTCTATTTGCCCAGCGACCCCAGCCTCAGCGCCACCTGCTGCCCCCATCCCCTCCTCCCAGGGTGCCCTGTCCCCTGCTGACCCCCTCCCCTCCCCCCAGGGAAGCCCTTGTCCCCAGGGAGGAGGACGCACTCACCCCCCTGAACTTGGGCTGCGGAGTCCACACTCAGGCCTGAAAGAAGTTGGTTCCCATGAGAGGTGCGCTCTTCCCAGAGCCTCCTGAGCCCTGGGGCCCTGGCTGGGGGGAGAGGGGGCTGGGGACCCACACTTCCCACCTTAGCTTCCCCTCTTGTCTCACCGAGGTACAGTAGGGCTGCGAGTGTGAGGGCCATGCTGTGCGCACAGCGCCTGCGCTGCCTGCGGAGGAGCCTCAGCATCTGGCTGCAGAGGCACAGGATGTGGCTTTTGCCTTCTACTCCCAGACTTGCTACACCCACAGTGACACCAAAAGGGGAAATGCCCACCCATGAGCCTGGCTCTTGTTTCTGAGGACTGGGCTCTCTGTAGGTGGGGATCCCCCCAGATTGAATCCCCATCTGACTTCATCTCACTGAGGGCTGGACTGTGGCAGCAGACACCCCTGGCACCATCCTGTATTTCTCTCCCTCCAGGTAAAGTGGGGTTTGGAGGCTGGTCCTTCCCTCTGAGGGTCCTTGTGGGGTCTCTGTCCTCCTCCAGCCCCTCCACCCTCAGCCTTGAAGGCGTTTTGGGAGGATGCAGAGCAGCAGGGTCACGGCGACCATGCCTGGAGCTCGGTGTGGGGAGCAGCGCAGAGGAGGGATGTGGGAGTCAGGGAAATGCTGCCCCCACATGGATGCCCCTTATTCACCAGACCCCACCTCTCCCCAGACCAAACACTGGTCCCTTTTCTTGCCTTCTCCCTGGCCTTGTTCCCTGCAGAATTCTCCTGGTCCTGGCAGATGATCTAGTGTTTCTTCCCCCTCCACGGTCCTGGCAGTGGGGAGGCAGGAGCCTCTCCTTCCTCTCCATCCAGCTTCTTGCTGGCAGCCTGGCATCTTCCCCTCGGTCTGCAGAGGGGTAGAAGAGTCACCCCCATGTGTGACACACAGAGGCTCAATCACGGGTCATTTCTGGATCAGGGTAAAATCCGAGCTTGGGACTCAAGAAGCTCATGGAGATGTGCCTTTGTCTGCTCCAAGCATTGGAAACGGCCCAGAGTATGTCTGAAGTTTGCTGAGCATCGACATCATGAGCAGAGAGAGGAAAAATCAAAGTTCTCCAGAAAGGGAGAGAGCCATAGCCACACCAGGGACTGTGACTGTGGAGGCCCGGCGCCTGGAAGCATCCGGACGCTCCGGGAGACCCGGGCTCCTCCCTGTGGGTGAGGTGCAGTCTGGGGCTGGGGAGGTTGGCAGCTTTGTCCCTGCTCCTCCCCCATTTCCTCTGTGTTGTGCATGGCACTGGGCTTTCTCAGCTCACCACCTGGGCCTCGTGGCCAGCCCCGAGAGCCCAGCATGCGCTAAGACATGCTCTCTCCTGCGTGGCCCCTGTGGGTGTGAGTGTAAGGAGCAGTTGGACTGGCAGATGCCCACTGGGAGGGGTGCATGCCCAGGGCAGGAGCCACTAAGGAACGTGAACTTTCTGATGCCACTCATTGCACGAGTGGATGAACAAAATACATACATGCAACTGCATATTTTCCAGGCCAAAAACCCTCCCCCCCCCCCAAACAAATAAATCCTGTGATATGTTGCAAAATGAAGTAATTAAGTGTGACAAGCCATGATCTCATTATATGAGGAATAAAAACTAGCCAGGCAGGCTGGGAAGGTGGCTCAGTAGTAGAGTGCTTACCTTGCATGCATGAGGTCCTGGGTTCGATTCCTCAGCACAACATAAACAGAAAAAGCCAGAAGTGGTGCTGTAGCTCAAGTGGTAGAGCACTCATCTTGAGCTAAAGAGCTGGGGGACAGAGCCCAGGCCCAGAGTTCAAGCCCCATAATGGACCAATAACAAAACAAAACAAACTAGCCTGGCCCAGTCTGGACAGGAAAGGACATGAGACTTTTCTACAATAAACCACTCAGAAAACTGGAAGTCGCACTGTGGCTCAAATGGTAGAGCCTGGGGCTGGGAAGGTGGCTCAGTGGTAGAGTGCTTGCCTTGCATGCATGAGGCCCTGGGTTTGATTCCTCAGCACCACATAAGCAAAAAGAAAAAAGCCAGAAGTGGCGCTGTGGCTCAAGTGGTGGAGCACTAGCCTTGAGCTGAAGAGCTGAGGGACAGCACCCAGGCTCAGAGTTCAGGCCCCACGACCGGACCCCCCCCCAAAAAAAAATATGGTAGAGCCCTAGTCTTGAGCTGAAGAGCTGAGGGATGGACCGAGGCCCAAAGTTCAAGCCCCATGACCAACCACAAAAAAGAAAAAGGAAAAAAATGCAGTGTGCACAGGACCCATGAAATCACAAAGAGGAAATGGAATTATATACTAGTTACATTTTGGAGAAATGAAAATCCAGAAAAGACAATATGCACAGGAGATGGGAGGAAGAGAGGAAGCAGACTTCCCACGGTTTCAGAAAAAAAAAAGGCTGTGAGCAAGGAGGTTGGGTAATATTTGGGGGTAAAAAGAAAACATTCAGTAGGTTTACAAAAAGTGAAGAAAGGCTTGGGCTGGGAAGGTGGCTCAGTGGTAGAGCGCTTGCCTTGCATGCCTGAGGCCCTGGGTTCAATTCCTCAGCACCACATAAGCAAAAAGAAAAAAGCCAGAAGTGGTGCTGTGGCTCAAGTGGTAGAGCACTAGCCTTGAGCTGAAGAGCTGAGGGACAGTGCCCAGGCCCATAGTTCAAGCCCCATGACTGGACCCTCCCCCCCCCCCAAAAAAAGGCTAGGCACTAGTGGCTCACACCTGTAATCCTAGCTACTCAGGAGGCTGATATGTGAGGATGGGGTTTGAAGCCAGCCCGGGCAGGAGAGTCCATGAAACTCTTATCTCCAATTTTCAGCTAAGACAGGGCTGGAAGTGGAACTGTGGCTCAAGTGGTAGAGCGCTATCCTTGAGCAAAAGAAGCTCAGGGACAGCGCGTAGGCCCTGAGTTCAAGCCACAAGACTGGGGAAAAAACAAAATGTAGATTTAGGACATATGTTGCTGTAGTTTAGATCATGAATTCCCCAAAAGCCAAGTGATGAATGGTGCCAGTTAGGAGGTGGTGCTTACTGGAAGGAAGTTAGGTCCTTGGGAGCGGTGCTTAATTGGAGAAAGTTAGGTCCTGGTTAGGGCTTAATGGAAGAAAGTTGGGTCATTATAGGCCAGAATTAATTAAAAGAAGATTGCTCCTTGGAGGCATGGCCTTGACAGGCACTGGGAGCCGTGTCTTTTCTCTCTCTCTCTCTGTTTCTTTCTCTGTCTCCCCCACACTCCCTTCATCCCACCGTTCACCCTACCTGCCCCCTCTCTCCCACAAATGTACCCCTCCATCTCCCTCTCTTTCTCCTTTCCTCCCATTCCTTTCTCTCTCTTCAGCCTACACCTATCTCTCAGTATCTTGCTGAGAAATGGGGTGATGTTGTGACGTGCAGGGGCCTTTGTAGCTGGTGAGAGAGTGGCAAAGCCCCACCAGGGACCACCAAGCATACGATGAGCAGAGCTCAGTGCCCACGGATGCTGGTTCTCCTGGAAACACAGCCAAAGGGAAAAGACTTGACATACGGTCGTGTAAGTGTAAAATCACTTTTCAGAAAATTATCCTAAATGTAGGCTGTTACTTATGCAATGTTTATTTCTGTCAGTCTAATAAGCAGGGAGAAGACATAATCTACTCAGCTCCTCTTCCCAAAGCAACCACACACGCCTGGCCCTGGCAGACAAGCCCACAGGTGAGGAGCAGAGTCCTAGAGGTGCTGACAGCGCAGACCCTGAAGCTGGCCTCACACTCCCCAGCCGCAGGCACAGCGGAGCCAGGAGACACGGGCATTGCTGCACACAAACACCAAAGGGTTGAGGGTGGAGAAGCCGGAGGATGCCAGGTAGGACGAGCTGGCCAGCCAGGGGCTCGGGGTGCCCACCTGCATGGAGCACAGGGATAAGACAGAAGCCAGGGCGTAGAAGGAAAGAAAGAGGCTGACCAGGAGCAGGACGCTGGGAGAGGCTTGCCTCTCACGGGAGGACGAGTGCGTGGCCGAGCAGGTACTGCACTGGACGCCTGTGTCTGTGCAGCACGAGGAGCACGTTGCTGCTGGCCCAACCCATGAGGCCCAGGCACGTGGCGTCTGTGACAAAGAAAACCGCCGCTCCCATCAGGAAGGTTTCCCTCTTCTGGGTAGGGTAGAAACAGAACTTGTACATGGTCTCCATGCTCAGGTTTCTGCTGCCTCTTGGGCCAGTTACCTCCATCAGGACAGGCAGATTAAGCAGGAAGTGCAGGAGCCAGCAGAAGGTGCAGCAGAGCGCCACACCCTGGGCACATACACACACACACACACCCCAGGCCAGAGTGTCAGGGCCTGGAAGCTGCTGAGCAGGCAGGTGGTACTGAGCGTGACCCCTCTGCACACCCTGTGCACACAAAAGACCCCCTTGCACCCAGCCTCACCCAGGAAAGTTCGCATCCCAAAAGCAGCCATGGTGTGAGGAACACCTTTGGAGAGAAGAGCCAGGGTGTTGGCTAAGATGAGCTGGGTGAGAATCAGGTCTGTGGGTCTCCACGTGCGCATGGTGAGAAATGCACAGGTGCACAGGCAAAAGAGGCAGGAATTCCCCAGGACTCCCCCACCTGTCTGGAAGGAGGAAAGTGACACCCCAACTCAGGCTCACAGACACCAATTCATTTATTTGGAGGTGTTGGACTTAGATTTTATTTTAATCAGCAGACTGTGGAGACTAAAAGACAAAACTGAATTAGTGCCCACAAAATAATACATAAATATGCTATTTATTATTCTCAGTGGAACTGGGATTGAACCTTCAAGACCTGCATCTGGATACAAAAGAGCCTCAAGGAAAACTAGAAGTAATGTCAGAGTGCAAATAAATGAAATGGAAGCAAACAACAACCAAAAACCAAAGAATTCATGATGAGGATCTGAAGGACAAGGAAGTATGACTAGACCCTTGATGTTACCACTAGGAAAATCAGTTTGTCGTTTCCTAAAGGAAAAACAAAACAAAACAAACCCACCTTACTACCTGCCGCATCGCATGGGCCGGCGTCAGTGTGCTGGTACCAGATAAGATGGACGCTGTCTTTCCAGCGCTTCTTGCACAAATCCAGTCATAGACATTGTGCTGAGCAAGGGAGCTAAACACGGAGGGAACACACTCGATCCCACAGATCCTTCTCCACCTGGATCCATCAGCTCTTAGCCGCAAGTACGTGGAGAGGTCAGGAGCAGAGAGAGATGAAGGAAATGGCTCAGACACATTGCCGGGCCCTGGTGGCTCACGCCTGTAATCCTAGCTACTCAGGAGGCTGAGATCTGAGGATCGATCGCGGTTCAAAGCCAGCCCGGGCAGGAGAGACCGACCGTGAGACTCTTATCTCCAATAAACCACCAGAAAACCGGAAGTGGCGCTGTAGCTCAAGTGGTAGAGCGCTCGCCTTGAGCTAAAGAGCTGAGGGACAGCGCCCAGGCCCAGAGTTCAAGCCCCATGACCGACCAAGAAAAAAAAGAAATGGCTCGGACACCAGCCAGGGTACTCAGAGGATGTGCCAAGGTGAGAAAGTGCCCAAGATCTAATGCACACCAGGAGGAGGGCAGGTGAGGGCATGAGACTCCATGGCTGGCGCCCAGCGTTGTCCACAGCCAGAGTGGCTCTGGGATGGGTAAGTGGTGACCTTTCTGGTGAGTGTTTCACACGACATCCACAGGAAATACACCCCAAACAGAACAGCCTCCGGGAGGCCTCTGAGCCTGGTGATGGAGGAGCCCTGGTGTGTCAAGAGAACATTATCTCCTCCAGCATTTTATTATTTTCTCATTTTGAAGATTAGCTTTCTCACTATTACCGTGCTTATAAATGAACCATGATCACAATTCTTGAATCCAACATTTTGAAAAAAGAAAGGAGTAAAAACATTCAAAAAGGAAAACAATAATGATTAGTTTTATCTTGTACCATTTCCAAAACCAACAGTCTTATTAACCTTTGGAAATAATCCAGTTATATAATTGTTAAATATTGCAATTTGCTGATTACTACATAGAACCAAGCGAGTTTCACTAATACTTACTATATTTATTTTACAAAGTACATATCTGTGGTAGATACACACAGTGCACTATATGGAATTATCAAGCACAAGGTGCAATAATACAAATAACTATTATAGAAATTCCAAGGGAGATAGCAAGTTGAAGATTTTTCCTGGTAGATACAGTTTTATAACTGAAATTATCCAGTTCAGCTCCACCACTAGATAAACACAGAAGAAATGCTGCACTGAACTGAAGGTAGAAAAATACAACCCAGGGCTGGGAAGGTGGCTCAATGGTAGATTGCTTACCTTGCATGCCTGAGGCCCTGGGTTCGATTCCTTAACACCACATAAGCAAAAAGAAAAAAGCCAGAAGTGGTGCTGTGGCTCAAGTGGTAGAGCGCTAGCCTTGAGCTGAAGAGCTGAGGGACAATGCCCAGGCCCAGAGTTCAGGCCCCATGACCGGACCAAAAAAAAAATATATATATATATCCTGGGGTG